CGCATTTACAAGAGTACATTAATCAAATACCGTCCTCTGGCATGCGATATCATTCTGGTTTGTCGCTGGCCATTGACTCAGTCCTTGAATTTGTGGATACTGCGATTCCCACAATAATTCCAGCAAATGTATGTAGCAATGTTTCAACGTATCACACATCGTTTTACTTTAAGTTTTAGAATTATCTTAATATAATTCGACCAATAATTTCTACCAATATAGTTTAATTTTAATTTTAAATTAACTTTTCATCTTTTTCTAATTCTACGAATTAGAAAAAAATAAAAAAACCAGTTGAATTGAAATTAAAGTTAATTTACATTGATAGAAACGGATACTAGCCATTCGTCTTTATTAACGCATTGTAACTATATTCAATATTAATTTTATTAACGGAGGAATGTATTTAATAGACAAATTCTTTGGATAAGAGGCCACGCGGTCCAAAGGGCGCGAGTTCGTGGTTGCTGTCGATGATGTCTACAAGATCATGGCATGCCGGTGAAGTAGCGGGTATGCTCGCCCTTGCGCGCACCGAATCGCCAATCACGGAAATGACTCTCGAAGAGTGCAGAGATAAAGTCGTCGAGAGATTGATCGAAGCCGTTCGCCGCGCCTGTCAGGATCGCGATGATACCATCCATCGAGGAGCTCTTTGGCGTGCTACCGCTCTTTTAATATCCATGCCTGGTAAATTTAAACTAATCAATACTTCGTAATTTTAAACTTTATGGAGTTAAACAATTAATTTTAGAAAATTGGATTTGTTGATGTAATTTATTGGTCAGTTTTTTTTCTATTTGCACTAATTAAATTTTGCATTTTTAGGTATACACAGACGATTATTACACACAGTCGCATGCTCGCAGATAGAACTGTTCACGACCGCAACCATGACCACGGCGGTCGAATGCTGGCAGTGGATCTTAACTGTACGACCAGATTTAAAGTTGCGATTTTTACAAGAGATGTTACTCGCATGGCAGTATACCGTTGATAAGAAAATGGGTCTGTTTACACCGAACGAGCAGGAGGTCAGTCCTCTTGCAGTCTATGAGGGCTGTAAACTTGGTCCTAATCCGCCGTACGTAAAACCACACGATATCTGGGTGACCTTTATAGTGGAACTCGTCGAGACAGCCAAGTACTGTTGCCAGGAGACGGTCGATATGATTGCTTTACTCTTGCATCGCTCGTTACCTATGACCGTCGGTGCATCTGGCGAAGAACCTGGCATCACACGACACGTCGCCGCGGTCGGCGTGCGTTTTAAGCTTCTTTCATGCGGCTTAGTACTGCTGCAAGGTGACGTTTTACCGAGGTAATATTTTTTTTTTTCATTGTCGCGTGAATGACAACATGATAGAAAAATTGGATCTACTTTCGCAGAACTTTAAGTAAGAACGTCCTGCGAGAACGTGTCTATTCCAATTGTCTGGATTATTTCTGCCGAGAACGTCAGTTGCCAACCCAAGAAATTGACCAGCTTAGCGAAGACATAGTTACACTCATACGTTTTTGGCAGGTAAGTGCAGCATGTTGAAAATTAAGGAGCGAATTAAGATTTTCTGATTTATATAGAGAGAAATAATTTAGAAATTATTGTAAACATAGAGAGAAATTTGAAATTATCTTTTTTATTTTCTTAATAAAATTCTGGAATTTGTATTCACGACTGGCACTTATAACTCTGTTTTATGTATCTTCGCAGGTGATGCATAGCGACAAGAAATACTTAATGATGACAGGAGCCGATAATGAGTTTGAGATAGTGACATCTCAAACTTATACAACCGCAATGATTCCAAGCGAGACAATTGGTTCGTTAGCCGCCACATTGGCTCCTACGCCAAACGACTTCTCAAGATCTACCAGCAATGTGTGGATGAGTACCATGCCTATGTCGACCAGTACCAATACATTGAGCAAACGCAGCAATCGCAGCAAACGAATTGTAAATGCCAATGTTCTTGTGAAAGATTACATCAAGAAGCGAAATTTGATTCTCGAATTGTTAGCGGTTGAAATTGAAATGTTACTGGTGAGTTCTGAATGATTCACAGAAAACTGTAATTTATCGCACTTTAATGAAAATCAGCTTCTCAAACATTAAAATCTCGTTTCTCGTCCAGGTCTGGCGTAATCCCAGCGGAAGAGCGGAACTCGCGTTGCAAGGTGAAGTAAGTATCGCGGACTGGCGTGCCAAAGGGATGAACGATCGCTGGCGAGAATATACGCGACTCGCGTGGGAGATCAGTCCCGTTTTGGCCACATTTTTACCGGTGCGATTAAAGAATCACGAAGTCATTATCAAAGAGATCTGCGGCTTAGTGCGCCTTAAACCCGTGCCAGTCATGCATTTGTCGGAAGCATTACAGTATCTTGTTACAACGGACACGCTTCTCAACGATGTACCTGAAGTGAGATTTTTAACTTTACTCTGTGTCAATAATTATAAATTCAATCCCTACTTAGATCTATTAGAGATTGTTATCTCATTTATAAAATTTGGATTCTGTTTTAGTTAGTTTATATGTTAACATGGGAAAGAGTGTCTCCAATTCAAGCGCTGGCATTTTTCTCACGACAATTCCCGCATCATCCCATCTCGGCGCAATACGCAGTGCATGTGTTAGATAGCTACCCCGCCGACGCTGTGCTCTTCTATATACCTCAACTAGTGCAAGCCGTTCGTCACGATTCAATGGGCTACGTAATCGAATTTATTAAGAAGATTGCTAAACGATCACAGGTACTATAAGTATTGCAAAATTTAAATTGTATGAAATTAACAGAATTAAATGTAACGTGCTTTGGCTTGACATGTTTTAGGTAGTGGCACATCAGTTGATATGGAATATGCACACTAATGTATATATGGACGAAGATAAGCAGATGAGAGATCCGGTACTGTACGACGTATTAGATTCGTTGACAAAGAATATTCTGAATGCCCTGTCTGGCCCAGCAAAACAATTCTACGAGAGGGAGTTCGACTTTTTCGACAAAATCACTAACATCTCGGGCGAAATTCGGCCGTATCCTAAAGGGCCGGAACGCAAAGCCGCGTGCTTAGATGCTTTAGCAAAAGTCCAAGTACAACCTGGTTGCTATCTACCATCGAATCCCGAAGCGATGGTCATCGATATAGATTATCAAAGCGGTACTCCTATGCAAAGGTACGATTTAAGATAGTTAAAAAGCCAATGATATGAATTCTGTCATAAAATACTATGCAATTATCTTATAATTACAGTGCTGCCAAGGCACCGTTCTTAGCGCGCTTCAAAGTACAGAGATATGGCATCAATGAGCTCGAGAATATAGCGCTAGCAGTGTCGACCAACGGAAAAGTCGACAGTAAGAAAGATACAGAAGAACAGACGTGGCAGGCTGCTATTTTCAAAGTCGGAGATGACGTCAGGCAAGACATGCTCGCCCTGCAAGTGATCAGCATCTTTAAGAATGTATTCCAGAAAGTTGGGCTAAATCTCTTCCTGTTTCCCTACAGAGTGGTGGCCACAGCTCCTGGGGTAAGATACTGATTTCTTGTAATGAATACGTTCTCTGATAGATTATATCTCATTTATAATTATATTGTCATTAGTGCGGTGTGATAGAATGTGTACCGCATGCAACGTCGAGAGATCAACTCGGCCGTACAACGGACAGCGACATGTATCAATACTTCATCGCGCAACATGGCGACGAAACGACCAAGGAGTTCCAAAACGTTCGACGCAACTTTGTCAAGTCAATGGCGGCGTACAGTGTGATTACCTACCTCTTACAGATAAAGGACCGTCACAATGGCAACATCATGATAGACACCCAAGGCCATATCATACACATTGATTTCGGTTTTATGTTTGAGAGCTCGCCCGGTGGTAATCTGGGCTTCGAGCCCGATATCAAGCTGACTGACGAAATGGTTCTCGTAATGGGTGGTAAAATGGAAGCTGCGCCGTTCCGTTGGTTTATGGAACTATGCGTGCAGGCTTTCCTCGCAGTTAGGTGAGTATTATTTTCATCAATATTATTTTAAAAATCTACACTACATTCTATATATTGCAATAAAAAAATAAGATTACATTTAGGTACATATAAAGCTGTCTCGAATTTAATTTAATAGATAATAATTTAAATATATTCTTAAATATTCTATATTTTGTAGGCCTTATCAGGAGGCTATCATCTCTCTCGTCTCTCTCATGCTCGACACAGGATTACCATGTTTCCGCGGGCAAACTATTAAACTTCTACGCAGCCGGTTTGTGCCGACCGCCACCGATCGCGATGCGGCGATCTTTATGATCAATGTAATACGTAACAGCTACCTCAACTTCCGTACGAAAACTTACGATATGATACAGTATTATCAGAATCAAATCCCATATTGAATTATTGTCGGGAAACTTACTTCCGTCTCCTTCCCCTCTTTCTTCCCCGTCCGTGTAATCGTTAATAGGCGACGCTTTATGCTCGCCATGACTGTTGTTATTGTATTAGAATCAGGTACTTTATTGTACTGCAGTTGTTAGATATATCGCGATATAACCACTGACTGTGAAACTGTACAAAAATGCATTGGTGTCAATATTACTTTAGTCCCAGTATTTTACGAAAGCGTTTAATCTTGTATGTATGTAATAATGTATCATATTTATCTATGAGAGATCGCTTATATATGTATATGTCTGCCGTATGCAGCACATCTGTATACGACTACATTCCTGTTTGTTATTAATTTATGCACTGTTAATGGATAAAAAATTAAATTACTTTAATCATGATAACATATTTAGAAATCCTCATCTCGCGATGCATTTTAATTCTCAATTACAACAGTATTTAATTAAATTTTAACAGATATTTTGTAAAATATCAAGAACAATATGTATACACATTTTTTATTTCAGCTTAATGTTTCCCGATGTTTTTATAATTTTACGGCGTGATTATTTTTAGAGGATGTAATGAATAATTAAACAAATAATAAATGAAAGCAATTTAATTTATTTTCTATATACAATAGCTAAGCAAACTAATTGAACAATGTTATATATACATCAGTATGTTTGTAACATAACACTAATAGTTAGCTTGATTCTGAGAAGTTAAGAACTCCCATTATAGGTTTTCCCCGGAGTAATAAATTTCTTTTCGGCAACAGATGCCTTCCTAAAAGTTTCCAAGAAAGTGTCTTTAACATCGATAGTTCAATTTATATATATATTTAAGAAAAGATTTTTTTTTATATTTCTAAATTTATTTCTTTCTATAAATCAATTTTTTTAATTATTCTGATAATGTGGCTGCACGCAAAAAGATTTTGTATACATGTTAATTGATTTTAATCCTAAGAGGCTTATTCTGTAATTCTTAACTGTAACGATTACGATATCATCATAATAGTTAAAAGTTATAGAATAGATCCCTTAATGGAATTTTAAATGTAAAATTGTTGATATGCTGTAATATTGTGCATTATAATTAATATATTATGCAATATATTATATTATTTCACATAATTATTGTCTATATGTTTATACTTACCCTGAATCAATTTGTTTTATTCCACCAATTAATACCGGCGGCTTAACTTCTCGTCTTGCATCTCGAGTGTAATAATAAATTTGCGAAGTTTTGTGGTATGGACCACCCGGTATATTCGGTGGAGGTTGAGTACGCTTGGATTGGTCATCGGCGTACCTATGGGGCAGTATAATTTTATTCTGCAAAAAATAAAATTTTAGACATATACCATCTCAAACTGTTATATAAAAACTAAAGGAAATTACACATTTTTTAATTATTTGCTCAATTCTTTCAAAAAAAATCTTATCAAAAAATATGTTACGCAATGGAAATATAATAGATTTTCTAATTGATGTTCTTAACTTCTCAGAGTTTATCGCAAAGATATGTGATACAAATGCGCAACTTCTTAAACTCCAAAATTTCTATTACATTTCTATATCAAAGAATCATGTGAGCATATTGCAAATAAGAAGAGAATAATTTGAAGGAAAAATATACAAATTTTCCATAAAACATCGATCAAATTAAATTCAGCACATCTGGATATAACCTCTCAATAAATGTTACAATTAATGACTCGTTTTCCAGGCAGCCGGCACAATTTCTTCAGAAAATGTGTGTATTTGAATTAATAAATTGAAGACTAAAAATGCAAAACAGTATACAAAAATTCAGAAAAGCGTAAGGCAGATTACATAATTAGAACGAATGTCATCACTTACACCTCGACAAATATCTCGAATAAAATTTACTAGCGGTGTAACACTCCGGTGTTCTACTGGGCCCGGCATGCTTCCTTCGTAAATTGACCGATTCGATAATAAATTTAAATGTCGTATTTAACTTAATACGACATTTACTTCCGTAATTAGAGAGCCACAGTTATTATTAACCTTAACCTCAACAAGTAAATATTTTGATAAATAACACTCGCATAGTATCGATACAAACCGACATGAATCGACTCGATTCTTCGTGACGTCTTGCAATCGATTAAACGGTATAATTTTTATTTTATAAAAAATAGCACCAATTGGTGAACGTATAATTTTTAATTAATTGTAAGATAAGACAAATTCACCCTATTTTTTTATGCTTTATATACTTTAGTAATTTATATACTTTATATACTTTAGTAATAATCAGAATACTCTACGCAATGAAATAATCTAAGAATTCGAAAACTTTTAAATTTGTTCGGTTTCTTTTAAATAATTCGTTGTTTATAATCTTTTTTTTTCTATGTATACTGCTCAATTCAAAATTCTGAATACGAGATGCAGTTTTTCAATCCAAACGAATCCAGTCGAATCCAATTGAATAAAGAAAAAGGTTCTTTTTTTATTCAATTGAATTCAGTGGAACAAAATATGAGATTTAAAATATCAGATAAGACTAAAAACAGAACAAGATACAAAGAGAATAAGATTGAAAAAAGAACTTTTTAGAATCTAATTGAATTCAATGAATTTAAAATACGCGCATAAAAATTTCAAACCATTTTAATTCATTTTCGATTACTGGGGCCCGAACTGTTGTAAAGTGTAAAACTGTAAACACGACGGCGAATGGCGGCAGTGGCGAACGTCGATGGCGATTCATGTTAATTAATTTGTGCTAATTCGTTGATAGTAGCTGACGAAACGAAAAGGTAAAGGAGAAAGGAAGTGCATGCCTTGGATGCGACGAGCGCGAGCAGTGAACCGGTAATAGCTACGATACGCATCTGCGCTGCGTGAACGAGGGGTAATGAGAGGAAGAGGGAGATCGGCAAGAAAACAACATATGGACTCATTTGTGTGAAGTAGATGAAGGTTCTGAAGTCAAATATTCACGAGAGGCAAAGTAAGGCAAAGAACCTCGGGACACCTCGTCGCATCAAATCGGATACGGTTGTCCTATGCGATTCACATTTAACAAGTAAGAAACGACGCGTTCTGCGTGTAGGTTAGAGTTGCACAGAGATTAAAGTTTATTACGGTTTCTGTAATCATTGATGCGTTAATGATCAGTTAATAATACAGTGAGTTAATTGTTGAACGTTCGAGTTATTATAAGACAGAATTGTAGTCTAGACTGTGGTCAAACATTTGAACTTGTCGTAATTAGATTATGTTAAAATTTAATAGTCATTCTAGTTAATAATTCATCAATGATGCAGTTATGTGACAGAATTGTAGCCTAAAACTAGTCAAATATTTATATTGGCTGCCAGATAATAGGTCTGTGTTCTGTAGCTGAATAATATACATTTTTGGAACTTAAAATATGTTTGTTATTTAGTTAAAGGGAGAAAGAAAGTTCTAGTGCAGAAATAAAAAAACAATGTTGTATGTATTGTTATAATTATTGATGCTCAATTATTAATGCTCAAATTATGTTACAGTAAAAACTGTAGCTGTTGAACATTTGGGATCTGCAGTTGGATCTATATCATTGTGTACAAGCAAGCGTAAATTTCTGAGAGCCATATTGTTTATTGTTCGATACTGCTATTTGTGGTATTAAACATATACCAACATGTTGACGGAACAGAATGTGATTATGGAACTAACTGGTTCTAGTGATGCAGTGATTGGTTTTATCACTACCGATGATGGTCATGCGCTACTGGCAGTAGATGGTAAGGCGATAGACTTTACATATATATTATACATTAAAACAATATAGCTATAATAATTAAAACAATAAAAGTATAATAATTAGAAGATACCCAATATTCTGATTCTGTAACTGTTGATAACAATTTGATATTGTTGCATAGTCATTGTACCACTTTTTTACCAAGTATAATGCAAGGACAGTATAACTACTGGCACTGTCATTAAGAATGACAGAATCAGGATACAGTTGTATATATAACTTTATAACTGCAATGCATATATTATATAGCTTTCTATGTGCATAATAATTAAAGATTTATCGACATGTAGAATTTCATGTTTAGCTCACTGGACTTATCAGAATTATAATTTAAATAAATAAAATAAAAATTTGTCTAATGAACATGTATATGTTCTATTAATGTCAAACCATTAGATTTCTTTTCAGAACGTGAGGACAGTACACTGGAATTTATGACTACACCAATCACATTTATGCCACAGAATAACATGGTATCTCCAACACTGTCTTCAACACTGATAAAGACGACGGACGGAAATTTTATTTTACATTCGGTATGTACAGCTAATAGTAGATTTGTTCTTTTTAGCTGAATTTTTTTGCATGGTTTATTATTCCTCTTTTTCTTTTCACGTTGAAGAGAAAAAGGAGGAAAAATAAACTATGCACAAGAAATTCAGCTAAAAGAAACCGACCTAGTATCTCAAAAGCGTTGAGCAATGACGAGATGGCCTACGTTTGTTGGACGTTACATGTTTTTTCTGTTTCAGCCTATTTTCCAAATGAATGTGCAGGGTCTGTCAGGAACTGCGATGCAACAAACAAATCTACTGCCACGGATGCAATATTTAGAAAATAGATCTGCAATTACAGAACAATTAAAAGTACAAGATACGAATGAATGTGCAATTACAGAATATCTATTACCTATTAGAGATAATAGCAGTGTGTTATCAGACAAAGGACAGTTAACAGTCAACAATCATGCTAAAAGCAAATCTACGCCTGTATTTAATACCGTACAAAACGTCTACAAAAGATCTCCAGGGAGACCAAAGAAAAATGAAGTAAATTCGCAAGTATGTTAATATCATTGATTGATATCTACAACTGAAAAATATTTTTATCGTCTGAAATAGATTGGCTGTTTTACATATAACACTTTATATAGGAATATAATTTTATTTTATACGTCATATAATATAAATTATTCTTATTATGAAATTATATATTAATATTTTGTTATAGAATACACAGTTTCTGCAGTGTGATATATGCAGTCAAGAATTTACTAAACAAGCATTATACCGTAAACATATGGAAAATCATGCCGAAGAGAAACCGCATAGATGTCCAAAATGTTCAGCATCGTTTAATATTCCAGTAAGTCTTTTAATATCTTTTCTATCATTGGGATTTAAAAAAAAAAGAATTTCGTAATATGTTTCTATCTTAAGGAAACTGATACATTTATCAAGTATTCATTATACTCATATTATACAATACATGTCACTGTATCTAATTTTAATTAATATATACGATATAAATAAGAAATTATATGATGGAGAAAATAGAAAAACAATTACATGATGACTAAAAAGTATATCTAGAGGACTTCTGTCGAATAAACTTGCTCGATCTCTTATAGAATTAAATTAATAGTAGTAAGAGAGAAAGTTGCTTCTTGATCTTGGATGCAATGGATTCAGTCTAGTAACTTCATATAATGGTATCATTACAGACAAATTTCACGCTTCATATGGCAACGCATAATACCGGTGACCCAAAATGCCCCGAATGCGGTAGGAAATATGCCAGAATGGCGAGTCTCAAGTCTCATATGTTGCTACACGAAAAGGAGGAGAATCTCTTTTGCACGGAGTGTGAGGATGCCTTTTCGACGAAGGTAAGTTTGAGATTATTAACATTTTATGCATAAGGAAATTTTTTCTGTATGTAAAATGACAGAGCAGTTCAAGATTCAACATTTTTATGTATATATAATTTTAATAAGTTAAAATTTTAATCACAAAAAGGCAGATTTTGAAACAGTCTATATAAAAGCTGTATCGCGCTACGTAAGATTGCTTTATCGATGCTCTGTTCTGCTAATGTATTTCTGCTGATCGCGCAGACCACTGATAACATTCATCATTGCGAATACGATATTCATAATTATTGCGGCTAAGGTCTAAAACGTTGGTTGTTTTGCCTCGTGTTCGCTTATTCGTTCCTCAATTGATTCACGTGTCCTAGTTTACGTCGAGATCATAAACCTCGATTGATAACATACAAATTCTAATTACCTATTTAACACTCGCGAATCTATGAATTGTATTTGTCATTGTTTTATAGCATCTTGAACGATTGGTAAAAATCAATTCTTTTTGGTAGAAATTATTTATTAACGAATAAAATTTAACAAGAATAAATTTGGTTCTATTAATATATTGAACAAAACGGATCTTAATGTTACGTTGTCTAATCAAGGGTCGATCTCGGTGACCCGTTATTTATTTGCTCGCCGCCAGTCATCCAGCCAAAATCAAATAATCGTAGAAAAGAGGAACCCGCGATTTTCGTCATGTTCTCCATAGCTGACTGCAGCAGGATAAATAGAGATGATTTAATAATTCCCTTCAATGCTCTCGAAGATTAAGAGGACATTATCTCATAGCGTCGTCAAAGTATGCCAGCAATGATCGGCCTTGTACACTTCATAGCCATTAATGATATTTAGCTGCTTCATCTTTGCTACATATTCATAGAAGTATCTGTATAATTGTAGCAATAATTCGCAGGGAATGAAATTAATGAATCAATGCATTCGAGATAACGCACGTTAAACGCACTTTCTTCTGCTACTGATCAATTAAGTTCTCGATTAAGCCCTTTAATTGATCAGTATAGTAGAAGAAAGTGCGTTTTTTGCTAGGAGAAGATGTTTTCTCAGTATGATGCAATCCCACGTATTCGGGACAATCTTCTAAGTTTACGAAGACAATAAGAATTGATCGGGATCACCGCCGATTATCGTAGCAATCATGCGTGACCGTGATAGCAACGTGGGCCGTAAAACGTGGGCAAGTGGGCGGCAGCAGCGGTCGTATTAATGGGGCGCACACGAATTACGCAACCGAATCGCATGATCTCACACAGATCTCTCGCCGATTGCTTTCGTGTTTGACCACCGACACGCGCTATGCGTCTACACGCACACGCGTGAACACTCGTGTGATGTCGAAATGTGGAGACTCCAGGAAGCGTTGCGTCGCTGTATCATACGTCTCGGCCAGTGTATTTA